GACTTCATAAAGAAATTATTTGAAACTTTCAGATTACCCTGGTCATCTTCATGCAGAGAGAGAGAAAATATACCGAATATTTAAGATACGATTAAAAATAAAAACTTAATTCAAAAGAAATATTTCCTACTTCTTGGTAGATGGTTAGGCCATCATGAGATAATCAAATCTTAGATATAAGAAGCAATTAATTGTGCTTCATAATGTGCCAGGGTAGGATTATTGCATTATGTCTGCAAGCCAATGGCTAGTTCTCTGATTCTTGCTTATTTATGAGGCAAACATAATATTATTTAATTCACAGGTATTTCACTGATCCTTTAGGGCTTTCTGTTGTCATTAAAGCACTGAATAAATATGCCATTGACATCACTAATGAAAATATAAAACAAATCTTATCATCGTACAACAAATGTCTCCAACGACAAAGTCTTGTTAAGTCCACAAGAGTTTTGACATACAATATTAAATATAGATTACTCCCTCCATTTTAAACAATGTAAATATAAAACCCACTATTAAAATTAGAAACATATATTTATAGTTTAGCCTACAACTTTTCTCACCAAAATATTTCCTAAGACGATAGTATTCAACCAACCTAGTTAACCTTCAAATCACATTTTTACATTATTAGGCCTTTTCCAAATTCTGCCTTATTTGTCTTGACAGAAGGTGGTTTATTTTTATTTTTTAATTCATCAAAATAACATATCTATCTTATTTTAGGTTTAAAATCTAGTCAGTGTATCCTTTTTTCAATGAGGTACAGGTAGTCTCTACAACAGTACTGATGTCTTTATGGATCAGCCACCTTGTGATTTGTGGTTTGAAATGTTTCTTTCAAATGTCTCCCCTTCTGCTATGGGAAAATCTCAAAGTAAAATCATAACTGAAGCATTATATAGGGGAATGTGGGAAACTGACTATTATTGGCACGTTGTCAAATAGATAAAGGAAAATAACCAGAAAATAAATAGAAAATATCTTTTTTTAGTCTCGTTTAGTTACATTAGTCTAATATGTTACTTAAACAATATTAGCTTAAAAAGTGTTGTTTTCAATTGATGTTATCAAAATAAAGGATCTGACACAAAGCCCATTGAAATCAATGGAAAGACTGCCTTTGACTTCAATGGATTTTGGATCAGTCCCAAAGTGATGTTTATTAAAAAAGTGAATATATCCCAGACTTACAGGTATGAGAAGCATTTTTGACCAAAGGACACTGATCCCATGGCAAGGGATGCTGAAAAGACTGAGAAAAGTAAAACAAACTCCATCCAATGATGACATTGTAGTAGAGGGCCACAAAGAAACATACCTGAAGAATAAAAAAAAAAGATATTTTAAAAACTGTATTAAACAAATTCATGTCTTAGGTTAAAGTAAATAAAACAATGAGCTAAACCCTGAACTACATAAAATTGCTACTGAAATTATTGAGAATTTTGCCTAAGTAAGGAATGAATTAAGGCTCCAAGATTTGGCCCTCATTGGTATGCAAGTTGAACCTCTCTACTATGGCAACATTAGTGGTCAGCATGATTTTAGTTAGCTGGATGTCCACTTACCATGGGTGTGGCCAAGTTTCCCATTGTCCCATAAAGTTTGTTTACAGCCATCAGTCCTGGCTCTCAGTGTTCTGTGCTGTTATTTAGCTTTAATTTAGACCTGTCTTCTCAGAGCCCAGAAAAAATGGAAGTGGTGCAAATGCTGCTGGACAATATTACACTCCCGTGATCCAGCAAATTCTGTGGTTCAGCACCAATCAGGTACTGAGGGTGCCAGACTACAGACGTTCAACCTGTACTTAAAATCCAATATTTTCCAAATTCTTTTTTTTTTCTGTGTTTATCCTTTATACCTTGATAATATTTTAGCAGACTCTCTTCATTCCAAGAGACTAATATTTTATATATTAGAATATATATTACAAATTATGCAAACATTTTAAACTGATCCTGAAGCTAGGACCTAAATTATTAACCTTTGGTTAAAACTGAGCAGAAAGCATTTCATTGTTTGAAGAACATCAGACTATGTAAATTACAAACTTACTACACAGCTTGCAAATCCAATTCCACCGAGAGTGGGGCTGATGTAATTCCATACACCAATGCTTCCTCGTCGGATTCTTTGGCCCACAGAAAGTTCCAGGAAAAAAAGTGGAATCCCTATTATCAGCAGCAAAACTAAATATGGAATAAGATATGCTCCTATGAAAACAAGAGAACATCAACATTAGGATGATGAAGAGTCTTTTAGTCTTTTAAATCCCGTGCTTCATTAGGCAATTTCGGTACACTATATTTGCATCCCTATCTCGAGATAGGGAGCAAGTGCAGACATACCCATATATACATATATATTCAAAATAAAGTTTTAGAATTTAACTTATAAGGGTTAATGTCTCCATTTCACTTTCTATGCCTCTTTTCCTTTTAAACCTGCAAGTTATTATATTAAAATATGTGTTAACACAGTTCTCATTCTTTTTTTTTTACTATCTATAAAATAGATTTATATTCTAACAAAATTATCCATACTAATATGATATTATTCTTGTATTTTCTGATCTGACGTCCCAAACTATCAATTTCAGAGTGCTAGGATTAAAACTTCAAATGATTCATCCGTTTAGTGAAAGCTGTGAACTGAATCATACAAATAATGTATGATTAAATATAATGCATCATGATCAAATGTGAATGGAAATAATCAACTGCAAAAGTGCTGCAAGTAGAAAAATGCTACAGATGATACTTAACAGTTTACAAGACCTGTATTTTGGAGTTCCTAATGAAAGGATATGACCCAGCAAGTCCTATGAAGTCTGCCTTGTGAGACAGTATTTCAAATCTTTTTGAGACACCATTTACACAGTAATTCTGTATGCAAGTAAGGTGTCCTTAATAGACTGAGACATCATTTTAACTCTGTAACCTTGATATCATCCCCAACCAATTTCTATTTTTTCATTTTATTTTTTCTTCAAACTTTAAAAAAAAGCAAATATTTTACAAACCTATCTCCATACCAATCTATTGATGGTGTGCTCTGTGTGTGAACAGAATGCAAGGGACCAAGCAAAGAAAAGGTCTCAAACCCCCAGGAATACATCAGAGAAAGAGAACTAGTAAATGAGAAAGTCAGTGTGGACAGGGAAATCTGGAACCAAGGAAAAGTGTTTGGAGGCATCCAAGTCTCTTCACCAGTCTAGCCAAGTCCCATTAAGGAACTGATATAATACCAGTATATCCCTTAGAGAATGTAACTGTAACTAATTCAGCTTCAGGCCTACAATTAGTGTTGCCAACTAGGAATTAAAGATTAATCTTTAATTAAAGAGTGTGTCATATGATGAAACTTCCAGGAATATATTCAACCCTAATTAGGAACCCTGATATTCTTTTCTATAGTTATTTGCATCTTTAAAGTCTCAAGTGTCAAAGATAAAAATGGTGAAGGTGACTCCATCATAAATGTTTACATACTCTTTTAATGATTTTAGAACATATTGTGTAGTAGGAAATATGATAAATGTATTGTTTTAATGGAAAACCTGTTAGTCAATAAATATATTATTTTTAATAGCTAGAAATTGATTGGTTTACATTTAAAAATAGTCATGAGGATCTTCCTTCTCTAAAGTTATTTGTCATGTATAAGTACTTTATAGTTAAAGAATAAAGTATGGATCAGACTAGAGTTTTTAGGTCAACAAATATTGTACTGGGAAAGCTCATATAATGGAAAATTTACATGAAGGTGCTCTGCTGTACAATCAGGACTTATGCATATACTTTTATCAAATGATCACAAAAGCAAGACTGTAGAGCAATTCTGATAAACACACTTTGAACAGGCTTTGTGAAATTTCTGCAAAAGCACTCTAACTGAAGTCTTAAAATGTGGAATGTGCAAAAGGAAAGAATCAAAACTTATGTTTGAGTTTCCATTTATATTGAAGTCTCCCCATCTTGCTTTTTTGTTATCTTAAATTACAAGGAAATGGATCAACATACTTCTCAATCTTCTCTACCAGTCAGAAGCTCACCTTGACCCCCAAAATGATACAAAATAAATAAAGAAAGTAGGCAATGTTAAGCAATGCATCACTGGCCCAGCCCCCTGCAATAAGCATAACATCTATCTATATTTAGAATAGGAGAGTCACTTAGGAAGGATAAATATTGAACCCTCAATGACACCCACTGTAGATTTTGCCAGACCATAGCACAATCCCAGATTTATACTGATAATTTAATTAAATATACATTATTCATTGCATTCACAAATGTATGTTTCACCTGGATTAATCTGGCAAGCACAAGTTGTCACAATACTTGTAAAGATGCTTGCCCATATTAAAACAATCTTTCCTTGATCTAAGGAAAGCAGCTGATAGACTTGTTTTTTTGATTCACAGAATTAAGCTACAAGTTTGCAAAATTCATAATTGATTAGCACTAATCATACATAACTATACGTTTGATGAACATGGTATTGTAATACATTCTACATGGAACTGTATCTCGATAACACCTGGAAACTGAAATGGATGCATGTAGTGGCCCATTAGTTTAATTTGTTTGTGTCCGCCAATAAGGACAAACAAACAAAAGGAAATTTTTCTTCACTCAGTGCATAGTCAACCTGCGGAACTCCTTGCCAGAGAATGTTGTGAAGACTAGGATTTTAACAGAGTTCAAAAAAGAGCTAAATAGATTCATGGAGGTTAGGTCCATCAATGCCTATTAGCCAGGATGGGTAGGAATGGTGTCCCCAGCCTCTATTTGTCTGGAAATGGAAGACAGGAAAGGGTTCATGTCATAGACTCATAGACTCATAGACTTTAAGGTCAGAAGGGACCATTATGATCATCTAGTCTGACCCCCTGCACAGTGCAGGCCACAGAATCTTGCCCACCCCTCTTAGAATAATCCTCTCACCTATGTGGTGATTACCTGTTGTTTTCCCTCCCTCTGGAGCATCTGGCATTGGCCACTGTCAGCAGACAGGCTACTGGGCTTGATGGATCTTTGGTCTGACTCAGTATGACCACTCTTATGTTCTAATAATTCATGATCAGTGCAACCCTACCCATAAGCTGACTACAAACATCCCTTAAACAGAAATAATACATGGCTTTCAATTACACTCTACCCAACTTCCACTTCATCAAACTTCCTATTGAGTACATAGACAAGGAAATTAGTCAGACTCCATGGGGACCCAATAATGTAATATTTTTAGCTCCAAAATAAATGCATGAGATCTATGCAGCTATGGAATTTGGGCCATTGTGACTACAGGTTGGAATTCAAGTAACAGTTTTAGACCTGATCCTGTAGCCTTTAATGGTATCTGTTGTATCAGTCTTTCCATTTTGAAGGATCTGCCCCTTAGTGTCCACTATGAATAAAAGTTCTTCCTTGTTTTCATTTCTCCAGAGCCTTCTCAATTTTCATTCAGCAGATATGGACAGATTCTTTCTCAACTCTGCTAAGCAGTCAGCCAAACCAGGGTGAGGATTAACAGGCTGTTTCTGCATATTTTGAAGGAAGGTCCTAGCCTCATACCTCACACTGTATTTCAGACATGCATCAACAGACAAGTAAAATGCAACTGGATGTGATTTCTATTTTATGTGAAAGATGTTAAGACAAATGGAAGCAATTACATAACCTGCACAATATGTTCTATTAACATACAGATTAACTCACTTTTTCTCATATTGTACAGTGTACAATGTACACCAGTGTTTCTTAATCGGTGTTCCGGGGAACACCTGTGTGCGGCAGCGAACAACAGAGTTCAAAATGGCGGCCAATTACTCCTCCCCCCCCCCACCCTTTTTTTGCTCAACAAAAAATCCTTAATGTTCCTCAAAAAAAAAATTATTGTCTAGTGTTCTTCGGTCTTAAAAAGTTTAACAAACACTGATGTACACTGTATGATTAAAGGTATTCATTATCTAGAGAAACTCCATTACATTCCCATAATATGTTGTTCTGGCAAGAACTAATCAGGAAGTAGAGGTGTAATTAAAAAGGACCTGATGATCACTTATGTTAAGTCTCCATTAAACTGCTGTGGTCCTTAAAGTAAGTGTACATTCAATTTATTGCTCATTTTAATACCCTCGTACACTGCCTGAATGATATAAAGAGGTCTTAATCTAACTGAAAATCAGCCCCTAAATATTTAACATACCACAGTCTTCCCAAAAAAAATTATAAGGAAGAGAACCTTGCTTAGCAAATACTTAAGTAATATAAAACAGTCACATGACCAGGGAAATTCTACCACACAACACAAGGCCAAAGAAGCATATCAGGGTAATGTACTGTTTCCTTCAACAGATTTTTCTCTCTCACATAAAGATGTAATGCTTTCTTCTCATAAACTCTTGCCAAAATTAAAAGACAAATTTGAGACACTGGAGAAACTTACCTGGCTTTTACAATGAAATTGGCAAAGCAAGTTAGTAAACATTTTCCCTTACCTCCACCATTTTTCTGACACAGATATGGGAATCGCCATACATTTCCCAATCCCACAGAAAATCCAACTTGTGCCAGAATATACTGAAGTTTGCTGTTCCAGGCAGGTCTTTCATCTTCTACATCTGACCCCTCTTCAACATCTACATCTTTATGTTCTTGATCATCAACCAGTAGTTCACTTTTCTTAAAGGCATCATCTGCAGAGTCTTCATTTGAGAGAAGATCCTTAACTGACTCGATGACCTCATCATCTAGTTCTCTTTTTACCACCTTGCTGTTCTTAGGCATTTGCAATAAGGGAATGTTATAGGTGTGTCAGGTTCAATTCAAGCAGGCTGACAAGCCTCAAAGAAATTGTTCTTTCTGCCAAATAAAAAATGTGGATAACTCACTGAACAGCTAGATTGAAGAGGATGTCAGATTACTCCTTCATAAAGAGTGTTTAAGAGAAAGAAGACTTCTGGTTCTAAATGTCTGAACTATATATACCTGTCAAATAAAAAAAAAGAATAAATTATTAAATTATATATGAAAATGTAATTTGGAAAGTTATTTATTCATTTATCTTTTTATCTTCATATTTGTTAAAAGAAAACGCCTAACAACTTTTAGACGATTGTTTTAATTTGACTGTAGGCTACAGTGACAATATGCTTCCTCTTCTGATAAGTAAAATATCAGACACACATTGTCAATATGTGGAGGTTCAAATTTTCATTTACATTAAGTTATGATAATCCACTTCACTCTACCTTTCAGATTTCAAACATCTATTTAAAACAAGTATTACTCAATAACTAAGTAAATTTTGCAGATTAACAAGACAACTGCTATTTTGATGTAGTCATATCTACATACATTGAATCATCAGGTATATGTACAAAATAAAATTTAAAATTTAAATTCAGAATTTCTATTTTACATGTGGCTAAACACTTAAATTTATTCTTTTAATTTTTTCTGGAATTTATTACTAGCACATTTACATAGTGCTTCTTGGATTTTTAAGGAAGGGTTTTGAGCAAGGGACTGGGTGTTTGTGGGGGGGTGCAGGTGTCATGGTTGAGGGATGAGGAGGGGGCTCAAGGTAGAAGAATGAGGGTGCAGGAGTCAGGGTGGGGTTTGGGAAGTGAAGGTAAGCTCAAGGGAGGGATTGGGGAGCTCAGAGCAGGGGGTAGGGGTGGCCATTGGTTGCTCCCCAGGGCTGGAGCACTTGCTGCCCACTGTGGTCATTCTGAAGTGTACCTGTCCCCCATGCCTGCTGGTCCCTGTGGTCATTCGTGAGTATAACTATCCTTCCTATTACACCCTCCCTTTCAATTTCATGAGATTCCATGCACATCCCATTATCCCAGCACAACCAAACCCATACCTTGCTTTAAGTTATAATAAGAGGAAGCTGTATACCAAATGTGGTGGTTCTAGATCTTATAGTTTAGAAGGAGTTCTTGAAAAAACAGACTCACAGACAACCAGACAGACACACAGACAATTAGACACACAAACTCTCTCAAATATATAGCAAAAGAATCTATACAAGGGACAGCCTTAATTTTCTGAAATTGTTACTGAAACTCAGACATCAGTAAAATTTTCAATTTTAGTGTACAGAGTAGTACTGTTGCTGTAAGAGAGTGGACAGCCTATGCAGGGGGCATATATCATGGGAGATGTCAGAGCCCTCAAACACATTTTCAAGCTTGTAATTTTCAAGGTAGGGATTTCCATTTTTTCAGAGTGACGGAAATGGTTATTTAGATACTATTATTTTGAAAAAAGGGATATCTGAACATAGTCTGAGATGTCTGACAACCCTATGTTTAAAAAAAACCACTTCCCTTTTAGACATATATATTACAGCACAGATATGAAAATGTGTACATTTAATTATGTTTGCTTTTAACACAATAAGTCATTTAAAAAGACATTACATTTGCTTGGAACTGCTCACAATGGATTGTAGATATATCTGAGTGGATATTCAACTTCAGGGGAAGTGCTTTGCAAGGATTTTTTCACTTTTCTCATAGGATGAGATTCAACCCAGTCAGAGGACTGGAATGAAGCCATCTGACAATTTAAACCTCTAACACAGGTCCTATAAATGAGGCCCAAGTATTGTGGAGAGTTAAGAACAGGCTCTCCAAAGTCCCCAATGGCCTAATCCTGAGTCCCAATTGATGGGGAGTCATCTTTTAATATAAATGAGGCATGAAAACTCCTCTAGACTTTCAACTTTAGAGTTTCTGAAGCAGCAGCTAATCTTTAGTGGTAGGACTCCACTGTAGTAGTAGTGCCCTGCCAAACCAAAGGGATAGTTTGAGATCTGAAGAGAGGTATTAGGAATTTCAGACTAACTATATAGAACTAGAATGTCTGCACCGAGATAAGCTAGTCTACTTTCCAGGTCTTAATGCCAGATGACAGCCATGTAGGGAGTTATTTTAACCCAATTCAACTTGTAGCTAATCAAAGGAACGGGAGTGCTTGCAGAAGCAAAGCTGGATTCACTCTTAATCTTAGTACTATTCTCTTGCGTGAGAAAAACCTCTAAGATTAGAGGGAGATAATGCCATAGAAAAGTGGTATGACCCAGGCATTTCACCTCCTGCCCATCAGAAATTTCCCATCCCTTTTCATCCAGGGAGTCTAAAGTGTTGAAGGGCTCCTTCATGCTTCAGGAAGTAGAGATGTGCATATTAGCACATACAGGCAGTCCCCGGGTTACATACAAGATAGGGACTGTAGGTTTGTTCTTAAGTTGAATCTGTATGTAAGTCGGAACTGGCGTCCAGATTCAGCCGCTGCTGAAACTGACCGCCAGTTCTGACTTACATACAGAATCAACTTAAGACCCCCA